TTTAATTAATTTAAATTTAAAGAGCCACCAGGACCCATATTGGCTGTCACAGGCCCAGACCAAAGCAAAGAAAATGGAGTCCCTTCAATAATCAGGAAAAAGGAGAGAAACAACAAAGCTCTTTCTGGGAGAGAAAGACAAGAATAAGAAGCATGGCACTCTCTGGGGAATGCTGTGGATGCCTTGTTAATATTATAAGAAGCTCTAACAGTTGGGGCTGTTGGTAGAAAATGCCAGGTTTTTTCCTTAGTTAAGAGGCACCCCACTTTCCGGAGCATGAAGCAATTTGGCAGCTGCACTGAGGACTCCTGAGGCTCAGAGACCAGAAATGAAGAAACTGTAAGCGTCGTGATGGGAAACATCAATAACACTGCCTTTCTTCTACACACCCCCTAGGGCAGCCTCACTTCAAAACACCCCTGAGTGGCTTTGTCCAGAGCTGTCTCCAGGAAGGGGCTGCCAGTTCCATTCCACCTTCCTTCCGTAGCAAGTGAGTAAGCTGTGTTGTTTCAACCAGAAAGCCTTGTCCTGGGAAGGTAACACCTCTCCCTGAGGTAGGACAGCATTTGCTCCCAGCAGGGCTACTTAGGAGCCAGAATCTTGAATATGAAGAATGTGAAGCACTAGGGGCAAAAAGGCTGGGTCTGTGCAGCCTCCTTGGCCTTTGATCTCCCCTTTGTCAAATGCGGAATGTTAACTCCCACCCTGCAGAGAGCCATTAGGCATAAGGAGCCAGCAAATCCATACAAAGCCCTTAGCAAAGGCAGGCACAGAGTAAGGACTCAATGTTAGTTATTAAATGTTAGTTATTAAATAGAGCACTTCACTGCCCTACTCAAAATCTTCCTAGGGCATCATCCTTCCCGTCCCACTATAATCTTCTCCTCCATAATGAATCCATCATGTGTGCTCTGCAGAACAGTAATCCCTGAGCAATGATGTTCCAGGTTCTTGGAACTACAGTAGCCACAGTACCTGAAAACCCAGGAATCACCCTATAACAGGCACAAGCCCATGATCACATCAGAATAACAAAAACAATGGTAATAAAAATTACCACCACCATTTGTCCAGTATTTGTGCTGGACATGTGCTGGGAGTTTTATATGTGTTGTTTCATATTCCCTTTATGATAACTCTGAAATAGCACTGCTCAATTATAAATGAGGACACTAAAGATTGGAGATACTCGGGTAGTGACTTCCCATCCTCTCACAGTAACTCAGCACCCTGTCCAGGATTCAGACCCAGGTCTGCATAGGTCCAGAGTCCAAGCCTTTGACCTCTAGATTGTATCAGACTACCAGTCTATGTCATCTCTATAATGCAGGCTACCTTAGATAAAGGGAATGAAAGAATTCCCATGCATCGAGGTGGCAAATGGAATGTAAGGAAAGTGCCTATGGCTTTCATGCTAACCAGAAATATTGAACAGATCATTAACAACCTCAGTGGAATATTTCAAGTGTATCAAAGGAAAACCATGAATCACTGAAGATGAGTGTGTATTAATTTTCCATTACTGTTATAACCACAAACCTAGTGTCTTTAAACAATACAAGTTTATGATCTCATAGCACTGTAGATCAGAAGTTCTGAAATGAGTCTCACTGGGTTAAAATCAAGGTATTGGCAGGGCTGACTTCTGTAGGCTCTAGGGAAGAATCCGTTCCCTTCATGAAGTTCTAGAACCTAGGTGAGGTTCGGTGGGGCGAGGTCCAGAGCTGATGACCAAGAAAGAATTCTTGAGACATCTTTGGTGCAAAATGGTGGTTTATTAAAGCACGGGGACAGGACCCGTGGGCAGGGAGAGCTGCTGCCCCGCTATCCTGAGGAGTGGCTGATTATATACACAGGAGTTGGGTAGGTGAGGACAAAGGGGATGTTAAGAAGGGTTGTCACGGTAAAGAAGACTGTCAGGATATTGGAGGCCTGGTATTTGTCAAGCCAAGGCTGTTTTTCCCTCTAATGAGGCACTAACATGAAGACAATTGGGAGTTTCCTGGTGGAATGTCACATTCCTCCTATCAAACATCCTTGTCAGTGAGTTTTAGGTTTAGAAGAAATTTAACTTTATTTACATTTCCTTCTGCCTCAGCCTCCTCCAGTTTTATGGAGGGGAGAACTACATTAGGGCTTGAGGAACTGAGTTATTTGTCTCTAGAAGTTGGGCTATTGATAAGATAGCTTCTTCTTTGTAAGTCACTAGGACATTTGTAGACTGAGGGAGACTCCTGTCTTGCAGGATTGTGATCTCTGCAAGTTAACTATTTGTTTTTCTTTTAGGGCAGCCAGGGGTGCCTGAGGAATGTCACACATATTACCAAGGGGAGCAGGTGGAGAGGGGGCGCAAATTGCCAGCTTTTGCTTTGTCCTGAGCCAGCCTTCTGCTCCCTCATCACCCTCACTTTTTCCAGCTTTTTCCAGCCACTTGGAATCCTTGGCTTATGGCCCCTTCTGCCATCTTAAGCCAGAAGTGAAGTATCTTCCAACCAGTCTCTGACACTGACCCTCCTGTCTTCCCTTTATAAAGATTCTGTGACTTCATTGAGCCCACCCAGATTATCCAAGATAATCACCATCTCAGGATGTTTAACTCAAACACATCTGCAGAGTCCTTTTGCCATGTAAGACAACATATTCACTTCCCAGGGATTATGGTATTGGCATCTTTGCGTGCCATTTTTCTGCCATCACATTCATGTCGCTGGCCCCAAAACATTCATATCCATCCCATGTGTAATATATATTCTCCAAAGTCTGCACCCTTCACAGGATAAAATAATGACCACTCACGGTTAACCAATGCTTGCTGTGAAGTAAGCACTTTGCTGCGTTAACCCACTTAATTTCATACCAACTCAGTCTGGAGATGAGAAAATCAAGACTTGAAGAGGTCAAGTGATTGACCCAGTTAATATCTGAGCCAGGATTTGAAACCAGGTATATATCTGACTCACTTTGAACTAGGTTCAAGCACTTTCACTACTTACAGTTGAGTTTTGAAGAGTGGATAGAATTTAGAAAGGCAGAAGGAGAGGGGAGGGCATTCTAGACAGGCGGAAGGGCTGGAGCAAAGACTCAGAGGCAGGAAAGCACACTCCACGTAAGGAAGTCCATAAATAGGCTTGGTTTGACAGGAACAGGGAGCTTGCAAAGGGAAGGAGTGGGGACAACAGTTGAACTTGGAAGTCAAGGTCATATTAAAGACCTTTAGTGACAAGCCACAGGAACTGACCTTTCTCCTGCAGGAACATGCAAGAATTGAATTTCAGACTGTGCCGTTTTAGTTACTTTTCAAGAAATATTTCAGTTGAATGAAGCAAAGTGGTATCTTAAAAGTAGTCATATTGTGCCTCTCTGTTTCACATCTCCTTATTGAGGACCTGCCCCTGGTCAAGGAGACATGCACAGTTTTCTATTTCCCCTGACTAGAACATGAACTTCACAAGGGCAGGGATGTCTACTTTACTCCCTGCTATATCCTCAGCACCTAGAACATACCTTGTACATAATATGTGCTCAGTACCTATTTGTCAGAAGAATACAAAGAGAAAAAAATTGCTCTTCTTCTTTTTTTTTTTTTTTAACTTTTAAAGAAGTCTTCTGATGCTATGTCACAATCATCACTTGGTAGCTGCAGCTTTTGATTTGCAAAAGGGCATCTGGTCAAGGCAAGAAAAGTCTCCTGAGACTTAAAAGTCCATAAAAACAAATTGGAAAGGGTTATTTATGTTGAAAGAGGGTAGAGAAGTGAATGAGATGCCACCTAGAGGGAGGTGAGTAGGTTCTCTGGGAGATCAGACCGGGCAGGAGGGCTTATAAGGAGGAATCTGCATGGAGAGGCAGCCAAACTCCGTCCACCAGCCCCAAAGCAAAGGGAAGCCAAGTCAGTGCCTCTTGTCTATCCATGGCCATTTAAATGGACTTGTCACACATCCCTGTACTAACGGTCACTCCAACTATTGCATGTGCTTCTGTTGAGAGCATTCTTCCTGCTACCTTTTTCTTGCTGCCTGTCCAGCAAAATTACATTCACCCCATCATGACACTTTGCACAACCCTATCCAACAGGTCCAACATTGTGGGACGTTCATAAGTTCTACCTACCCACCCAAAGCCAGAAGAAAAATCCCCTATGCCAGAAGAGTGGTCTGTGAGGAAGAGAAATCCCTCAGAAGCCAGACTGGGATAGGATATGCTCCAAACACACTCCATCATAGATTGCAGGCTACAGTTTGAAGCCTATGATTATTTCCAATTCTTTCCACACCCCAGTGACCCGCCATTCCACCCACAGGCCCCCTTCGATTTTAGGACACGCATTCAAAATATCGTGAGCAGCGGAAAATACACCACCTCTATCCCCAAATGAAAGCTATAGAGGTGAATAAAGTTGAGAAACAGAAATCTTCACCGAATCAAAGATAATTCTAAATAAACAACCAACTTAAACACATTAGCCCATTGAGTTCCAATCAGGGGCCACACAGGGAGGCAGAAAAGGGCTCACAGCCCTGCAGTGATTTCAGTGTGATCATTATTTGGCAAAATCCTGGTACAGTTTTTTCAACCCAAATGGTGTTCTGTACAGCAATCTTCCCAAAATCCAAATCTGATTTCATCATCCTGCTGCTTAAATGGTTCCCAGAGGTCTGAGGTAAAGCCCTAAGATCTTGGTATGATACCCAGGACTTCATGTAGCTTGCCTACATTTCCCTCTCTGTCCCCATTTTATGTGTCAACTTGACTGGGCTAAGGGATGCCCGATAGCTGGTAAAACACTACTTCTGGAGTGTTTGTGAGAATGTTTCTGGAAGAGATTAACCCTTGAACCTGTAGACTGAGGAAATAAGATCAACCTCATCATTGTGGGTGAGCATCATTCAATCTGCTGAGGGTCCAAAAAGACAGAGAAAGGGCAAAGGTGCTCTCTTGCTTCCACTGGAACATCCATCTCCTCCTGCCTTGGGTTTTCAGGCCAGTGGATTAGGACTGGAACTACACCAGCTCTCCTGGGCCTCTAGCATACAGATGGCTGGTCATGGGACACCTTAGCCTTCATCATTGTGTAAGCCACTCCCTCACCATAAACCTCTCTCTGTATATCTGTGTTTTCTATTGGTTCTGTTTCTTGGGAGGACTCTGACTAAGTCACCTCAGTGATCCATACTCCACACACCAGGACTTCTTTACCTACCAATATCCCGAATTTCCCTTCCACTGCATGGACTCTGTCCTTGTTTTTAGTCTCCCTAGAGCATATCCCTTTCATCATCCCTCCCTACTAAACAAACGCTTACTCTTCTTTTAGACCACACCTCAAATGTCATTTCCTCAGGGAAATCACCTGACCTCCTTTCAGGACTAATCCCCACATCACAGGCACTCACATCACCATTTACTCAGCCTGCACCACACTTGTCATGATGGTGAATACCAACTGACCTCTCTACTTGATTGACATCTGCCTCCTCCACCTCTGAAGCGTCTGCTTCTGCCTCATTCCTAATGGAATTCACTATGGTATCCCCAGTGCCCAGCGCAGGACCCATCATGTAGTACATGCACAATAAATATTTACTGGATGAATGAAGGGAGAAAGGAAGGAATGGATTTCAAATACAGATTGTACGTTCAAATGTTTTTAGTTGCATGGAAAAGAATTCCCATATAAAAATAGCTTCAACAATAGAGGCTCCTTATCTCCTGTAAGAAGTGTGCAGAGAGAGGCAAGTCCACACATGCCTCTGGGTCTGCCTGATACTATTTCCTCCCCAGTGTCTATGCCCCACTAACTGTCCTCCGGCCTGTGGGGAGAGGACGTGCAACACTCCAGGCCACACTTTCTTACACAGCCATGCTCAAAGATAGGAAAGGAGGAAAACACTCCCCAGAAGCCCAAGCAGATATCCACAAGTCACATGTCCACTCCTAAACTAATCACTTCCCACAGGGAAGTGGGATTATCCTAATTGGCTTGAACCAATCATTCATTCATGCCCTCAAGCCAGCCCCCCCACCCCCGCCCTGAGCACACTGCCACCTACAATAGGAATCAAACTGGGCTTCTATTGGACATGGAAAAGGAGAGAGATGCATTAATTCATTAACTCATTGTTTCACATTTGTTTCCAGCATCTACTATGGCATACTGTAATGTGCAAGGACTCTGGGCAGTATAGCATGGAGGTAAGGAGCCCCAACAGCCCAGTTCAAATCCCAACTCAGCCATTTAGTAGCTGTGTACAGTGAGCAAGCTACTCAACCTCTCTGTGCCTCAGTTTCCATATCTGTAACACTGGGGTAATAATAGTCCCTAACTCACAGGATGAATTACTATATTCCAAACAGTCCCTAGCATACAGAAAGTTCTAGAAATGTAGCTCCTATGACGATAAGTCTAAACCCTCCTATGACCCAGAATGTACTCTTCACCATTCTAAAGACTCAGTGGAAAACCTTTCTCTCCCTGGTTTTTGAGGCATTGATGGTTTCTCCCTCCACTGGCCCCAGCTCCTTTAGAGTTTATCAAGCACCTATGACAACTGTCTGGCTCCTCGTTTTTCTGAATGTAACCATATCTTGATCTTGGTAGGTTCCAGAGGGCTGAACCATGTAGTAGCCATGCACGAGCCCCCCTACGCCCACCTCTCAGGTACCCAGGACAGCTGTTAAGCACACAGAAGAAGTTCAGAGATTTCAGATCAACTTGGGGCTAATGTCACCTCTCTGGGAACCATCAAGTGAGGGGACAAGAGCTAATGGATGGGAAACCAGCTCCACAGAGCTCGCCTGTCCTCAACCCAGTTATACCCAAAATGAGTTTGCATACAGATAACTTCCTGAGACCTAGCAAGGGGAGGTCAATGGAGATTGCAGCTGGAGGAGTCGCTCAGTTACAGGGAAATGTCAAAGTGATAGCTCTAGGACATGAAGGGAGGCATAAAACCTGTCTCCTCCCCTCCATAACCTTCAGGGGACTCACCATTTGTAGGGACTCCTTCCAACATCCTGCTAATTCAATAAAGTTCTGTGCTCCCCAAGGGCTCTCTCCAAATTCAGTGGTAGATGGAGTTCCTCTTGGAATAAAAACTAAAGTAGCAACCCCGTTACTCTTTTCCATTTTACTTCTCAGCACAGTACATTACATTGACTCAGTGTTCTTGAAACTACAAGTTGGGACCCAGGAATGGGTCATGAAATCGTCTGAGTGAGGAATAGCCAATAGGGTTTTGGGTTTTGATTTGTTTTGGTTTTTTGTTTGTTTGTTTTTTCCATGTCTTTTTTTTTTTTTAAAGATTTTATTTATTCATTTGACAGAGAGAGAGATCACAAGCAGGCAGGGAGGCAGGCAGAGAGAGAGGAGGAAGCAGGCCCTCCACGGAGCAGAGAGCCCAATGCGGGGCTCGATCCCAGGACCCTGGGATCATGACCTGAGCCGAAGGCAGAGGCTTTAAACCACTGAGCCACCCAGGCGCCCCCATGTCTTTCTTTTTAAATAAAGTGAATCAGAACAGTAAACATCAGAGCATGTTCATACATTGCCTTACATACAGTAAGGGATAAATGAAACTTCTGTTTCAGTGCATATGTGTATGGAGGGGCTGGGACACACTGCCAAATAAATTTCTTGCTGTAGAATTAGTTCAAAAAGTTTGAGAAATGTTTCTCTGTTATTTTTATTGTTAATTTTGTTTGTTTGCTTACTGTCTTTCCTGTTTACCACCACATGGCTCAGGGATTGAATGTGGTTGGCCTTAATATATGTATAATGGATGGATGGTTAGAGGGAAGAAGAGGAAGAGGAACAGAGAGAAGAGGAAATAGACCAAGCCATAAATTTCTCATGACTGTCAAAAGCTGAAATTTAGGCTCTTAAAAAGCCTTTTTTAAAACCGCATGTGCTTTTGCGGCAGGCTAAGCTCTTTCGATAGGAACAGGAAGTAAAATAAGAAACACAACCATGGGAAGCAGGAAGATAAAATAATTCCTTGTAGATCAGAGGACTATACACTTGGAATACCAAAGGGAATCAACTGGAAAATCCATAGAATTAGCAAGACAGCAAGTATTTAGAAAAATGTTTGAATAGGAGAATGAAGATATAAGCATCAATTGTTCCTGGATATGCTGACAAATACCAGCTGGCACATATAAATGGGGGACAAGAATGAGAGAAGGTAGCTGTGTGGATACCTTCCATCTGTCTCTCTCGCTTTCTCCCCTCTCTTTATGGTCAGTTTTTACATTTTAAATCCTAAATATGTTTGGAATTCATTCTGATGTCTGTATGAGGATCTAATTTGATTATATTCCCACAAATAACCAATTGTCGAGGAGCTGACATTAAAAACCTGAAAAAAAATCTAGATTAAATTTTACCTGATGTTAAGATAGGGGAAGGCTTTTCTAAGTACAAGATCAATTGGTTGAAAATCACCAACGAAGAAAATGAGTAAACTCATTACTTAAAAATAAAAAGCATCTCTATTTCAACGTCATCATCAACAAAATTGAGAAGCAAATGACAATCTCGGAAAATATCCACAATTAGGGTAAATTAGGAGTATCTTCCTTAATATATAAAGAACTCTTCCGAATCAATAAGAACATCAATAGAAAAATGAACCCTGAACATGAATGAAGGATTCACAGAAAAAAATATAAATAGCCAATAAACACATGAAAATGTTTAATACCATACTTCTCATTACAAATTGGCAATATTTTTAAAAAGATCCGTTAGGGGTAAGGAACACAGGGAGGCAGAGAATGAATTATTTTGCAGCCTTTCTTTAAAGCAGTTAACAAGTGGTGCCTGGGTGGCTCAGTCAGTTAAGTGTCTGCCTTGTGCTCAGGTCATTATTCCAGGGTCTTTTTTATTTTTTTTTTATAATTTTTTTAAAAGATTTTATTTATTTATTTGACAGAGATCACAAGTAGGCAGAGAGAGAGAGAGAGAGAGAGAGGAGGAAGCAGGCTCCCCACTGAGCAGAGAGCCCGATGTGGGGCTCGATCCCAGGACTCTGGGATCATGACCTGAGCCAAAGGCAGAGGCTTTAACCCTCTGAGCCACCCAGGCGCCCCATATTCCAGGGTCTTGAGATGGAGCCTGTGTCAGGCTCCCTACTTAGTGAGGAGTCTGCTTCTCCCCTCTCTTTGCCACTCCTTCCACTTGTGCTCTATCTCTCTCAAATTTAAAAAAAAAAAAAAAAAAGCTACTTAACAAAATATACTGAGAATTCTTCAAAAGTTCGTACAGTATTATTTGTAAAAGAAAAAAAAAACAATCAAAGATGTCTAACTGGAAGGGAAAAGTATACATAAATTATGGTATGGAATATTATGCAAGCATTACATTTTATATTCCCAGAGACTTTTTTTAAGATTTTATTTATTTACTTACTTACTTATTTGGGAGAGAGTGCAAGCAGCATGCAAGCAGGGGTGGGGAAGAAACAGAGGGAGAGAATCTTCAAGCAGAGACCTTGAGGAGTGCAGGGCGTGATCTCAGGGATCATGAGATTGACGACCGGACACTTAACTGACTGAGCCGCCCAGACACCCCTATTTCTACAGATGTTTTAATGAGAAATGGATATGTTCAAGAGATACATTTTTTAATCCGAACAAAAAGAACTGTGTATAGTACGACTTCAATTTTATTTTGGAAAGAAAATTATATGGGCATAAAGAAAACTAGGAAGAAAAACATATGTGCTTTAAAAAACACTGAAAAATTTTAATTTAATTTAATTTAAAAATTAAAAAAATAAAAATACATATAGATGCAAAAAGAGGAAAGCAAGTAGTGGGATGGTGAACACTGGTTCCAGGTGATGGGTACCTGGTGGGGAGGAGGACCTGGAGGACAGGATGGGGAGAGGGGTACCACACACAGTTAGACAGAGATCCTTACCAAGGACATAGCTTTTGTTTGGGGTGGAAGGTTCATGGGTTCTTATTATATTATCAAATATAAAATGAATATTAAGATAAGCCATATAAAATTGCGAATAATCAACTGCTTTTAATCTTCCAAAATGGAGATTTTTAAGAGTTCACTTTAATGAATAGATAGATGACAGACAGACAAAACTGGCCATGACTGTACCAATGCTGAGATTATGTCATGATTAAGGACTGTGATTAATCCAATTTTGAAAGAGATTCAGGAGACAAATCACTAAAATGTTACTGGTGTTCATCTCCTAGTGGGATGATTAAGAGCAATTACTCTCTTCTCCTTTATGTTCTATGAGGAAAAAGGAATATTTTATAAATGTCAAAATACATGTTAGTCTCCTTGCCTTTCTATTCTACTCTAAGAGCTAATCTTGGCTCAAAAAGACATAAATCTAGGTCCAAGTCCTTGACCCACCTATGGCTAAGGTTCAACCTCTGGAGTTGTATAATGACTATTTCTTAAAGATTTATTTATTTATCTTAGAGAGAGAGAGAAAGAGCATGAGCAGGAGAAGCAGAGGGAGAGGGAGAGAGAATCTGAAGCAGACTCTATGCTAAGCATGGAGCCAGATGCAGGGTTCGATCCCACGACCCTGTAATCATGACCTGAGCTAAAACCAAGAGTTGGCTGCTTACCTAACAACACCACCCAGGTGCCCCTCTAATGACGATAATAATAAAATAATATTGGCAATAATAGCACATGATTGCTAGACATACCACATGCCCCATTTACCTCATCAGCTCCTCCCCACCACCTATGAGGGAGAGACTGTATTTGTCCCCATTTTACAGATGAGGAAACTGAAGCTCCAACCAGTCAGAGAACCTGTCTAAGGTCACAGAAGGAGAAAATGGCATTCCTGGGAGTCTAATCCTAGAGTCCAGAAACCACTCTCCCTTGGCACATAGACCTGCTAGTCCTTGAGAATAAATAAAAGACAAAAAGAAGTTTATCCTTGTCAAACACCACAGTAAGAAGATGCTTTGAGGAAGGGGATTCACTCCTCAAATAGCAGGTGTCACTGAGGACCCAGAATGTGGACTGAGAATGAGAAAGCCCAAGAGCAGAGAGCAGGATGCAATGTTAAACACCAATCATAGCAGCCTTTCTGGTTCAGAGCCTCCACTGCTGAAATGAAGCATATAATAGGGTCCCTGGACACTGTGAGTCACGCCTGAAACATTTAACTTATATCGGACTCAATTCAATTCCTCAGAAATGAGCCAGCATTCTCAAGATACTGCTGCTCTCCAGAATTGTACCAAATATCTTCCCTGAAACCCCTGGCATCATCTCTCCAATCAGGAGACCCAGTGCCCTCAGCCTGCTCTCCTTGCCCATCCTCCCCCACTGCCCTTCTGTTGCACCCCCACAACTTTGAACATGTCTCCAACTTTGCACAGCTGTTATTCTGTCTCCTCACCTTCCTAACACACACAAGCACACAAGTGCGCAGGTGTGCATGCACACTCACACACGTGTGTACATTCACCTATGTACCCATACAAACATATACATATATTTCTCCAAGCTATCACCCTTCAAGTCTTAGCTCAAATGTCAGCAAAAACAGAAAGCTTTGTGATGCTTTTTGTCTGAGTCTGCATCAAATCTCCCTGTTACAAGCTCTTGCCACACTGTGTGGTTTTCCTTTGTAGCACTGACCACAATTTCAATTAAATGCTTCCCTGAGCAATGGTCTATTTAACATCTGTCTTGCCCAGCAGTCCATGAGTTTCATGGGGGAAGGGCCCTTCTGTCTTGCTTAGTAAGCATATAGTACATGGACTTAGGGTATGTGGAAGTCACCAAATAATAGTGGAAGGGAAGGAGTCACACCCATTTTAAAGATGGAGAAATTGATCCCACCATAAACCAGCAGTCACCAGGACTTAGCCTTCTAATCCCTGGAGGGTGACATACATTTAATTCGTTAACATTTTTTTTTAAAAGATTTTATTTATTTATTGAGAGAGTGACAAAGAGACCACAAGTAGGCAGAGAGGCAGGCAGAGAGAGGGGGAGAGCAGGCTTCCCACCGAGCAGAGAGCCTGATGCAGGGCTCGATCCCAGGAACCTGAGATCAAGCAAGACCTGAGCTGAAGGCAGAGGCTTAACCCACTGAGCCACACAGGTGCCCCTTGTTAACATTTCTTATGGGCATTTTCAAATACACCCACAGAAGAGCAAACACTACTAGACCCCACATAGCCATCATCTGGCTTCAGTTGCTACCCATTTCCAATAATTCTTGCTTTATCTCCCCACCTTTCCAACTTTGGTTGGTTGGTTATGTTCATAGAGTATTTTAAAGCTAATCTCAAACATGATGCCACTTACTCATAAATACTTCAATGTTTATTCCTAACTAGTAAGAGCATTTTTTTAAAGGTTTTATTTATTTATTTGACAGAGAGAGTGATCACAAGTAGGCAGAGAGGCAGGCAGAGAGAGAGAGGAGGAAGCAGGCTCCCTGCTGAGCAGAGAGCCCGATGCGGGGCTCGGTCCCAGGACCCTGAGATCATGACCTGAGCCGAAGGCAGAGGCTTTAACCCACTGAGCCACCCAGGCGCCCCCAAGTAAGAGCTTTTTAATATAGAACCACGATATCATTATCACCCCAACATAATTAACAATGATCACTTAATAAAAACCAAATACCCAGTTTATCTTCAATGAGTTCAGATCTCAAAAATATCTTTTAATGGTTGTTTTGCATGAATCTGTAAGGTTGACACATTACACTTGGGTGATGTGTCTCTGAAGTCTCCTTTAATCCATATTGATTCTCCTTTTCTGCATGCCCTTCATCCATCGAAGAAGCTGGGTCATTTGTCCTTCTGTATTTAATTTTCAGAAATGACTTTCCCATCTTGAATCTACGTCTTTAGCAGGGGGCTGTGATGGGATGCTACTGACATGGCATTCTCCCCCTGCCTGAACTCCAGGGCACTCTCCTGCCTTCTGAATTCAGCAGGTATCACAGACTTTATATCTATGCATGGTTCCAGTTCAGTTAAATGCAAAGAACACAGACAAATAACTGCTTGATCCTCTCTTAGCAAGGTAGATCCCAACACTCAGAATCTAAGAACTGTCCAGAGCTGGGGACGGAAAGGGGCTCACAGCTCCAGGAAGCAGATGGAGTATCTGGGGTACGGAGAACACCATAAAACCAGAAGCGGGCAAAACGCCTCAATAAGAAGCCCTTGGAGAATCCTCTCCCTTTCTCTGCCAGGGGTTAGAGAGTTTCCTCCAGGCGTAGGTCTACGTGATTAGACATTTGAAGTTTGACTTTGCCCTGTTGACTATCCACATGCCCTTACCTAGAGCCCCATGTGGCTTTGGAAATGGACAGCCCAGAAAAGCCACGCAACTTGGTTTTCAAAGACAAGAAGCTACCACAGGCTACAGAAGAGTTGGGAGGTAGGGACATATGCAGGGATATTTGCCAGCACCCTGGACAAGGTGGCTATCCAAACGGCCTTCCAGCTGAGGATCTCTATAAATCATGGTACAAGTTTACCTCTTTGAGACAAACGAGCTCAAAAAAATCAATCTATTCTCTCCATCTCTCTCCACTGGAGTCTTCAGATTTCTGAGGGATAATAAAATGTTCCAACTAAATAGAAATCACATTTATCTTCAGTTTTTCTAGGTTAAGCCAAGACCCACATGAGCCCCTGACTACAGGGGCAGAGGTCCTGAATCTAACATTGGGTGAAGTATATCTGCTCATTTTTTCATCTATTCAGTCCCCTACCAACCATCCTGATTGTCTACTATAGGTTTGGGTCTAGTGAATGTAGGGATAATGGTAATCACAGTAGCCTCTAACCTTCATGCATCTTCTACCATTTGGTATCATTCTAAATGCTTCATTTCACTTACCTATCACAGTGAGAACTGCCCACTAGGGCAGACACTGATATGACTGTTGTATTAGTCATTTACTGCTACCTAACAGAGTCTCATAAACTTAAAACAACACACATTTATTATCATGTGGTTTCTGTCATAAGCCTAGGCACAGCTTAGCTGGGTTCTCTACTTCCAGGTCTCACCAAGCTGCAATTCAAATGTCAGTGGGGCTGTGGTCTCATCAGAGACTCAAATGAGGAAAGATCAGCTCCCAGGTTCCTTCCGGTTATTGGTAGGATGTATTTCCTTGTGGCTACAGGACTGAGGGTTTCATCTACTTGATAGAGGCCACCATCAGCTCCTAGAGGCTGCCCAAGTCCTTGATATGTGGGTTTCTTCAAGTTGGCCACTTGCTTCACAGCAGCTTGCTTCTTCCGGGCCAGCAATGGAGAAAGAAAATTTGGTAGCAAGATGGAGTTTTATAGAACATAACCATGGGAATGGTAACCTACCATCTTTGCCACATTCTACTCACTGGAAGCAAGTCCGGGGTCCTGTCCACATTCAAGAGAATGTCATCAAACATCAGGAGACAGGATCATAAGGATCAATGGAAAGTCTGCCCACCACAAGCATTATTCAAATAATAATAATAATAAATCAACTAAGTCTCAAACAGTAGAAGAAACTTCCCCTGTCGCATAGCCAAATGGAAGACCTGGAATTCAAAGCCAAATCTGAAGAACTCCAAGGCCCATGATCTCATCCATAAGTGCATTATTCAAAGAAGCATCACTGCCCTCAAGGAGTCATGGTCTCCCTCACCTAGAATAGAGACAGCAACAAATCCTTCTGATCAAATTTGGCAAGAATCTAATAGATGAATATACAAAGATCCTAGACTGGAAGTAAGGTTCACTCTGCCTGGCAGCCCTTTGTGCCTGGTCTTAAGATGAGCTAGCTGAAAAGAGAAAAGATGTGAGAGAACGCCAGGTGGGTGTGACCACAAGTGCAAAAACAAAGTGGCCGGCATCAGGTGCCAGCATGCTCCAATACCAACAGAATGTTTTGTGTGGCTAAAATGAAATGAAGGAGGCTTAACAGGACATAGAGCAGAAAGGGCAGACTGGAAATAGGCTCTACAGGGTGCTGAACACCCAGCATGGGATTTGGGGCTCTGAGCCATGGGAGCTGGTAAAGAGGGCAGGCACCATTACACTATAAATGGCTCTGGCTGGACTCAAGGTAGCCAGTTAGGATGTTACCGCATTTGTTCATGCAAGAGAGAGAGTAGAGACGCGCTGACAAGAAAAGGCACATTTGAGATATGTTTTGAGGGGAAAGTCCCAAAGTGAGGGTTTTGATAGAAACTAAAACCCAGTTCCCTTAATGGAGGTTGGCAGTGAACAGGGGGAACTCAGTGATTCCTAGAGCGCCAGAGAGTGTAGGGAGGGCAGAGAATGGAACGATACGGGCTCTCTGGAAATTGTCTAAAACACACCATTAAATGCCTGTACTAATGGAAAGAGCCACCCAAAAAAAGACAACTACTGTGTGATGCCACTGATAGGAGGTCCCTGTAATAAGCGAATTCACAGACACAGAAAGTGAGTGGTGGTTACCAGGGTCTGGGAGGAGGGGGCAGGAGGAGCTAGTGCTAAATGGGTATGTGGTTTCTGTTTGGTAGTTGAGAAAGTTCTGGAAATAGATGGAGATGGTTACACAACATGGGAAATGGGCTTAATGCACTAAATTATATGCTTACAAATGGTTAAAATGACGTTTCATGCAACATGTATTTTATCACAACCATTATTTAAAAAAAAAAAAAAGAAACTCCTTTCTTGGAGAGAAGCAACAGAGAGGCACTGAAAGCAATAGCACACCTAAGCACGCCCAAACACCAGTGCCCTGGTCTGCTCCACTCCAACAGAAGCCTCGTTCACAAAATGAAACCCTCAGGTGCCAGCCCTCAGACAGAGCCATTTATCAAAACTGACAGTCAAATGGAAGTCCCTGGTCATCAGCTCCTTACCCACTCTCTTCAAACTTCATCAAAATCAAAATCAAGATGCATTTGCTTAAGAGACAGGAACAAAAGCAGGAAAAGGGAGGGTCACCTCCTTGCAGGCTCTCTGGCCAGGCTGCCTGGACCCTATCAGACACACTTTGGCAGCCAAGTTTTGGCCCTGCTCATTGAGGGAGCCAGGTTCAACCCCAAGGCATTCATCAACTGGCTGATTCATTGGGTGAATAACGATAGGGCTTCTAGGTGTATCTGTGTCCAATGCTGAGGGTCAGCCACAGCTGGGAGCTCACATACAGGGAGTGGGGAGACAGAAACAGAGCAAGAGGCCCTTTCCATCACTCTGGAAGCCATCTCCATGCCGAGACCCTCAGATTCATGGCCCCACACTGACCACTGTCCTGGACTGTGGGCCCACACCCCAGCTGACTTTTTGTATCTCTCCTTGAAGTTGTAACTTGCACCTCAGGGTTGCTGCCTCCCACTCCATACCTCTAGTGTTCTATTAAATCTGAGAAATGAAAGAACGAGCCTGGCCCATGTCTTACAAAACGAGTGAAGTGCAAGGCTGAAAAGATTCTGGACAACTAACTGTCAGGCAGACGAACATGTGTGGTCCCTAAGGCGCTCCAGCAGTTCGCACAGGCTGCAGGACAATTCCCCAGCAAACCCAAAACACACAGAGGTTGGGCTTTATTTGCCCATATGGATGCCTCTGTTTCTCTCCCGAAGATAAAATAAATCAAGGAATGAGGGAGCTTAAGAAACACCCTGAGGTATATCCATCCTCAGTGCAGTAGACGGGCCTCCTGCAAAATGTTGTTATGGGTTGAATGGTGTTCCCAAAAAGAAGTCCCCGTTTTAACCTTCCATGCTTGTGAATGTGACCTTATTTGGAAATAAAGTCTTTATGATCAAGTGAAAATGGGGCTATTAAGAGACTCAAATCTGGTATGACTGTACTCTTATAAAAACAAGAAATCTGGAGAAGGAGACAGATATATGCAGGAGAAAAATGATGTGATAGTACAAGGAGATGACCACCTGTAAGCCAAGGAATGCCAGAGGCTACCAGAAGCCAGGAGAGGAGCATGAAACAGATTCTTCCTCACAGCCCACAGAAGGAACCAATCCTGCCAACGCCTTGACTTCGGATTTCTGGCCTCCGGATCTGTGAGGGAATAAATCTCTTTTGTTTAAGCCATACAGTTGATGGTATTTTGTTTCATCAGACCTAGGAAACTAACACAGATGTCCACGTACTAACCCCCAGAGTCTGTGAATACGTTAGGTTACACAGCAAAGGAGAATTTATGGTGCAAATGGAATTAAGGTTGCTAACTGGCTGATGTTGAGATAAGAAAGTTATCCTGGATTATCTGGGTGGGCCCAATGTCACAAGGGTCCTTATGTGTGGAAGAGGGAGGCAAAAGAGAGAGAGAGATGTGGGAGAAAGACTTAACTGGCCATCACTGGCTTTGATGATGGACATTGGAGCCATAAGCACAAATGCAGTGAACTCTAAAAGTTGAAAGGACAAGAAGATGGATTCTCCACACTATAGACTGAATATCAGCACCCTCCCCAAATTCAGATACTGAAATCCTAAGGCCCAAAGTGCTGGTATTTGGAGGTGGGGCCTTTGGGAGGTGATAAGGTCTTAAGGGTGGAGCCCTCATGAATGGGACAGTTGCCCTTCCGTATAAAAGGAAAAGTGAGATCTAGACATGTCTCACTCCTTCTCCCACACGAGGACACAGCCATCTGTAAGACAGGATATGGGCTCTCACCAGATACTGAATCTGCCAGTAACTTAATCTTGAGCTTTCCAGCCTCCAGAACTGTAAGAAACAAATTTGCTTATAAGCCACCCAGTCGATGATATTTTGTTGTAATAGCCTGAATGAACTAAGACCAAAAATGGTACTGAGACGTCGGAGTGCTGCTGTACAAACACCTGAAAAATGTGGAAGAGCTTTGGAACTGAGTAATGGGTAGAAGTGGGGAGGGTTTCGAGGTACATGCTTTCATTGTTGTGAACAGACCATTCAGGGCAATTTTGGTGAAAACTCAGAAAGAAGAGGAGGGTTTTGGAGAAAGCCTCAATCTTCCTAGGGAATACTCACGTGATCTGGAATAGAATGTTGGTAGAAATATGGGCGGTAGAGGCCATTCTGATGAGGGCTCAGACGGAAATGAGGAGCGTGTTACTGGAAACTGGAGGAAAGACCAACCTTATTATAAAGCGGCAAACAACCTGGCTGAATTGTGTTCACATCCTAGCGTTTTGGGAAAAGTAGAACTTCCAAGGGGTAAGATCGGTATTTGGCTGAGGAAATCTCCAAGCAAAGTGCTGAAGGCGTGGTCTGGTCCCTCCTGACTGCTTCTAGTAAAATGTGAGAAGAAAGGAATGACGTGAAGATGGAATGGTAGAGCAAAAAGGAACCAGAACTTAAAGATTAGGAAAATTCTCAGCCTATCCACATTGAAAGGAATGGGAAGCAAGCTCAGAGACAGCACCAAGGGTGTGGCAAGTGCCCCTTGGGTAAGAAGACTGGTACAGAGCAGCTGCCTCAACAGAAGCCGTGCGTTCTCGTTCAAGACAATGGAAGGATGACTGCAGAGGCAATTCAGGGATCATTAGAGCTGCCACCCCATCACAGGTTGCCAGTCTGTGGTACACTTGTTCCCCCTTATCCACAGTTCCACTTTCTGAGTTTTCAGAGACCATGGTCAACGATGGGCTGGAAGCAAATGATCCTCCTTCTGACACATCATTAGAAGGGGAAGGTCAGTGGTAGCCTAATGCTACATCACAATGCCTACGTCATTCACTTCACCTCATCTCCTCAAGTGGGCATTTTACCATCTTATATCATCACAAGAAGAAGGGTGAAGACAGGACAACCAGATATTTTGAGAGAGACCACATTCACATAACTTTGAACTGGTATATTGCTATTTGTTCTATTTTATTATTAGTTGTTGTTAATCTTTTACTGTGCCTAATTTATATGACTTCTGACCTCCAGAACAAGTGAATAAATTTGTATTGTTTTAAGGTACTAAGTTTGGGTAATTTTTTTAAAAGATTTTATTTATTCATTTGACAGAGAGAGACACAGCAAGAGAGGGAACACAAGCAGAGGGAGGGGAGAGGGAGAAGCAGGCTTCCCGCCGAGCGGAGAGCGCGATGTGGGGCTCAATCCCAGGACCCTGGGATCATGACCTGAGCCGAAGGCAGATGCTTAATGACTGAGCCACCCAGGCACCTCCAATTTGGGTAATTTTTTATAGCAGCAGTAGAAAATGAACGCCCCAAGCTTCTTTAAAACCTCATGTAAACTGGCTTTCCAAAGGGGTAAAAAATGTGTATATATATTTGGTTTTGTAACTAGGAAACATTCCTTCAGTCTAATTGGGATGGTATAAGGGATTAACAAATGGCATTAGTGATATGAGTTTCTCACCAGCCAAAATCCTGGATTGAATGCCCCACGGCAAGTCTAGCTTCAGGAAGAGCTTAATTAGGCCTTAAAGGTGCCACCAGGATCCAGTCTTCTCTCCATGCCTATGCCTTGCTCCCTCTAGGTGGGCCCTAGCTTCCCCTTATAGTGACAAGATGACTACCTCAGCTCCAGCATCACATGTACTCTCCTTGAAGTCCAGGGAAGAAAAGAGTAAGCATCTCTTTCCAGTCTCCATGGCTTTGTTTGAGCCATGTGTCTATTCTGGACCAAGTCATTTGGTCTGGGGAATGCTGTGTGGTAACTGACTGAGGGGCCAGTCATCCTTGGGGATGCAGCAGTGGTGCCCCATCCCAGCCAATTTCAAGCAAAAATGAGGAAGGATTATATGTGCTAATATAGAAACATACCCACAATTTTGTTAAATTTTAAAATGATATATAAAATACATATTTGTATATACACATATCATTTTATATATGTTTTAAGATATTAAATAAATAATATCATATACATAACTCATAAACATACATTGTTAAATAAAAAGTTGATGAAGGCTAATTTCTTTTAAATCTGGGTACTAGTTCACCCCTGTGATTAGTTTACTAAAATTCATAACCAGTCCCCTTGTTATTTGCACACATTTATGTATATATGTCATACTTTAAAAAAAAGGGTTTTTTTAAAGTAAGTTGCAGAATAAAAATGTATAATGTATGATGCTATTTTTACTTTTTTATTTTTTTAAAAGTTTTATTTATTTATTTAACAGAGAGAGAGAGAGATCACAAGTAGGCAGAGAGGCAGGCATAGGGGAGGGGAAAGCAGGCCCCCTGCTGAGCAGAGACCCAGATTCCAGGCTCGATCCCAGGATCCCAAGATCATGACCTGAGCTGAAGGCAGAGGCCTAACCCACCAAGTCACCCAGGCACCCCATGATGCTATTTTTAAAAAGAAGGAGAGGAGGGGCACCTGGTGGCTCAGTGGGTTAAAGCCTCTGCCTTTGGCTAAGGTCATGATCTCAGGGTCCTGGGATCAAGCCCCACATGGGGCTCTCTGCTCAGTGGGGAGCCTGTTTCCTCCTCTCTCTCTGCCTCCCTCTCTGCCTACTTTTGATCTTTCTCTCCATCAAATAAATAAATAAAATCTTTTTTTAAATAAACAAATAAATAATTAAAAAATAAAAAGAAGGAGAGGAGGAGTAAAGGAGAAAAACATGGCAAGAGGGGGAGAAATTATAAATAAACAGAGTGAGAAAAAGAGAAATACCCAAAATGATCGCCCCCAACTTTTGAGGGAGAACAGCAGTTTTCAACTAGACATGTGGCAATGTGTGAAGACAGTCGGAGTTGTCACAACTGGGGGGCGGGGTGTCAGTGCTACTGGCACTGAGTGCCAGAGGCAAAAGAAGCCACTATACATCGTGCAGTGCACAGGACAGCCCCACAACAAAAGAAACAAGGAAAGATCCAGCCCAAAATGTCAACAGGGCCAAGGTCAAGAAGCCCTGTTACACAGGGAAAATGTAAGGAGGGAGAGGTGTGAGAGAGGATTTTTCCTCTTTAGTGCTACATTCTTCAGGATTTTTACAAAAAGCATGCCTTACCTTTATCATTAAAAAACAAAAATGAAAACAAAAACAAAAACAAAACCACTCCTCATGGTGACAATGTAGATCAGGGGCCAGCAAGTGAGTCCCACAGGCCAGATCCAGTCCACTGCCTGTCTTTGTATAGCCCACCAGCTAAAAGGGTTTTAAGTGTTTAAATGGCTGCATTTTAACTGGCTGAGCACATACCTACAAAACATGCTTGACTTTGCCCACTGGCCCACAAAGCCTAAAATATTTACTATCTGGCTTTTTACAGAAAAAGATTGCCAACCTCTGACATAGACCATCACTTTATGTTTCCCATAAAAAGACCCACCCACCCCACCCCAGCCTCTGTCCAAACTAAGCATGTGTTAAATCTTTGAGAGACATTCTGTAGAGAAGGAAAGTAGCAGAAACCACTTGGTCCCTATGCTGGTGTATTAGTCTCCTATTGCTGCTATAACAAATTAACACAAACTTCGTGGCTTCAAACATGAATTTATTATCTTACATTTCTGGATGTCAGAAGTCTGAAATGGTTCTCACTGGGCTAAAATCAAGGTGTTGGCAGGGATGGTTCATTTCTGGTGATTCTGGGTAAGAATCCATTTCCTTAACCTTTTTCCACTTCTAGAGTTGAATTCTTTGGCTTGTGGCCCCTTCTCCCATCTTCAAAGCCAGCAATGCCCAGCAGTGTCCTTCTCACATTGTGTCCATCACTCCAACTCTGATTCTCCTGCCCCCTCCTTCCATATTTAAGGACCAGTGGAATTACACTGAGCACCCTCAAATAATCCAGGATAATTTCCTCATCTCACAGTCAATTAAGAACCTCAATTGCTTCCACAAACTTAATGTCCCTTCTCCATGTAACATAGCATGTTCACAGGTTGCCCAAATTAGGACATGGATATTGTCAGGGGCGATTATTCTGTCTGCCACATCAGACTTCTATTCACCTACCCCTCTAAGAGAACTCTAGCCTCTCCTATAGCTATCTGCAGCTATGATATTATGTATCAGCCAGTGCGATATAAACGAGTTGTTTGGGGGCACCTGGGTGGCTCAGTGGGTTAAACCTCTGCCTTTGGCTCTGGTCATGATCTCGGGGTTCTGGGATTGAGCCCCGCATCGGGCTCTCTGCTCAGCAGGGAGCCTGCTTCCTCCTCTCTCTCTGCCTGCCTCTCTACCTACTTGTGATCTCTATCTGTCAAATAAATAAATAAAATTTTTTAAAAAATGAGTTGTTTGGGGCGCCTGGGTGGCTTGGTGGGTTAAGCCGCTGCCTTCGGCTCAGCTCATGATCTCGGAGTCCTGGGATCGAGCCCCGCATCGGGCTCTCTGCTCAGCGGGGAGCCTGCTTCCTCCTCTCTCTCTGCCTGCCTCTCTGCCTGCTTGTGATCTCTCTGTCAAATAAATAAATAAATAAAATCTTAAAAAAAAAAAAAAAAGAGTTGTTTGTACAATTTCCAGAAAGTCTCCTTAAAAGGAGGGGACACCTCCTTAATAATACTTTTCAATTCTACCACCTAAAATCAGATGTAATGGCTGGAGCTGCAGCAGCCATGGCAGGCCAGGAAAATACCACCTCATAGGGCATGACAGAATGGATAGCTGAAAGGAGCCTGGGTCTGTGACAACTTTATGGAGTCACCATTTCAGAGCCTGTCTTGGATCTACTTCTATATGGTAAAATAAAAGTTTGTGTGTTTGAATTTCTATGGGGGTGTGGGGGCAGTTCTGTCACTCACAGCAAAATAAACTTCCTAACAGATTCTGAGGATGAAAGCATTAATTTATTCATTTATTCTTCCACATGCATGTATGAAGAGATTTCAGAGTGCTAGATGATGGATATGCAAACAGAAACCTACCACAGTCTTTGGACACCCAAGAATTCATGGCCTTGTGGGAAGATAGTTCAAGCCTAGACTGCAGTACAATATGGTGCTTGCTTTCTAGAAGTATGACTTTTGGGCTACAGAGGCATCAGCTCTGCCTGGGGGAAAAGAGAGAATGTGTAGGAGTCTGCAGCTGGTCAAGGTAAGAGAATATTCCAGGCTGCAGGAATATCGTAAACAATGGCAAAAATCACACAAGAATGCAGTCAGGGGAAACAATGAGATAGTCAGTTGGTCAACATTCCACCAGGCAAAGTGGGAAGGAAGAGCAGGAGACGTAATTCTGGGGGGCTCACATGTGTGAAGCTAGGGAGTTCATCTTATATGCTGGGGGGCAACAGGAAAACCCAGCCGGCCAGCTGAGCAGTGAGGGGTGAGGTGTTAAGTGTCTGAGCCCCTTTTTATATGCCCAAGAGCCCTCGTGATGCAAATGTGCTCAGGACCCTTCCCCAGCCCTCCCACCCCACCCCAGGTCTTTCAGTGAAGGAGGAAGACAGGCCTGGCCCCCTCAGGCTTCCAGAATCTAATTCTTGTCTCTACACCTTGTACATCACTGTGCTAATTTTAGTTCCTATTTAATTTTCCTGTTGTTAGCTTTGACCTCTTAGCTGGTGATTATTAATAAACCTACATAGAGTAAACCATTTTGTACATACCCTCCCAAAAAAGTTGCAGACTTTCAAAGTTCAAAACAAGATCTATAAATTATTCCATCTTGGCAAACACGGTACCTCCCCTAGGCAACGTGAACTGTTGGCAGAAGCTTAAAAGAGGCATTCATTTCCTCCTCTCTTTGCATCTGTGGTTTAGATGTGCAAAAATATGGTTCAGCATTTTTACTCTAACACGGATCTATCCACACTCCTGCCCCCACTCGTCTCCCCAGCAGAGGAGGACGCCAATCAATCCAGCATTATATCAGTCAGGCTTGCCTCTTGACAATTTCAATGGTGGTGCTGATTGAGAGATTCGCAGAAAACAGACAAGGTCACTGCTGAAGTGCAGGGTCAAGGTGGCCCTAACAAGCCGCCCATTAAATGGGATGGTACTCACCTCTTTCCCTGAGCAGGGGACCCAAAACTTAGAGAGAAGCTGCAACTGCACAGATAATGGGATATATGGGATCCATGTCACTTTGGCTTATAAAGGACACTGGTAGCCCTTTAGGCAGTTGATCCAGGTAATTTAAGGGGGAAAAGCAGTGTGGCTCTTTGAGAGTAATGTCCTCTAAATTATCTTTGTCCATGCCATTCTACTGATGAAGACTTTCTCATTACTAATTACCATTCTTGTTGTCGAAGGACACTCTGTTCAGAGGCTGGTGTTCAAACCTTGTAAGATACACTAGGGGTGAGGGAGGTCTTAATTCAATATTTTTGGAAACATTGTATATTCTCTTCACTGGGAAAGTGGAAATTTTCAGCACATGTAAAGGCTCTGAGAAGATCTGCAGAAAAGCAATCAGTGAAGCTCAATATCCAGAGGGAGTTTTGATTTTAGCTTTGTCACTTCCTATTGTATAACTATGTAGGGTATTTGTAAGAGTAAAAATAGAGGGGGGGAAAGGCAGGTAAAGCACACAGTAAGCACTTAACACAACACACATTTGCTCTTATTATTATTACTATGGAACCCAGCATTTATCAATTTTGACTGTTCTATTCTCTCATGGGAACACCTGTTACATCCTATGAAATGGTTTTCCTCAAAACACTGTTTGGGAAAGATTGCAGTGGATCATTTTGTTTTAATCTGACAAAGAGTTATCTAGGCCATGTTATGAGCCAGGCACTATTCTAAGTGCTTTATACATACTAATCCATTTAATCCTTACAACCACCCAGTGCATTGAGACAGGTATGATGAATATACTTATTTATAGACAAGGAAATCAACGTGCTGAGGGATTGAATACTACATATCTTACCCAAGTTCACACAGCTAGTAAGTGGCTGAACTTGAGGCCTCTAATTCACTGAAGCTACTTTCCTATGACCCATCTTCTCTTCTCCCCATATGGTCATAAGACCTCATTTTTACCAGGTTCTTCTTCTGCTCAGTAACCTAGAATGCCTCCTCCTCATCACCACATCAAATTCAAATTCATTCTGACTCTATGCCCAGATGATCCTCAGTGGCCTGGGGTTCAGGTTCCAAATTCATTCTGATTCTAGACACTCAAGTCTGCCCTTCCTTAATTGTTCCCGGGCTTGGCCAATCCCTTTCACTTCCTGGTAAACTCATATGCATCCTCCAAAACCCAGCCTAAAATTCATTGCTTCTGAAAGCTCTCTCTGAGTGCCTTCACCCAGGACAGAGTGACTATGCCAAGCTTTATATGCTCTTTCAAATTCGGAAGAACCTCTAGTTGGCATTTGGCAGACCTTAGTTTGATCCACTGTAGTGGACAGAAACGCTTCCCTCTTCTGGCACAAGCCCTGACTTTCCTTCACAACTCTCGTCCTTCCAGGGGCTGAATTTACTCCACCCCATCCCCTGGAATGAGTCTGTGACCTGTGTGTGGCTAAACAGAGGAATACACCACCCCTGGCTACAAGGATTGCTGAGAGGTGATCATCTGACCCAATTCATAAATCCCAAGACTCCTGATGGATTGGCCTGGACACATATACTAGCTTTCTACAGGACACAGGGCCAGGAGATTAAAAGCCTGATGCCACAGTCCGTCCAGTGGAAAGGCACTCTTGAAAGCAAAGCCAGCAAAGAGGAGAGTGGAAAACAGGAAAAGGGGCAAATAGAGAACAAACATGAGTCCCTATGACATTAGTCAAGCCTCCAGTGTGAGCCCTACCTGAAGCAGTTCTGTTCTTCAACTTCTCAGCTACGTGAACCAATTAATTTCCTTTTCAGCTAAGTCTTCTCAGCTGGGAGGCAGGGCAGTGGTTAGAGTTAGGGTGTTAGGGTTCTGTCACTTATAACCCAAGAAGCCCATCTAGCACAGTCTCTGGACCTTGACTAGAGTTCTCTAACACCAATCCCATCTAACTCCTCTCACCAGGGCCTGACTCATTATCTAAAATATCCTTCAAATATGTGTTGCGATGAAATTCTATTTGGGAGTTTCAAAGTGTTTTCTTGAGCACAAGCTTAGTTGATCCTGAGGATTGAGTACGCAATCTTAACCCCACTCCACAGATAAGAAAAGTGAGGCTCAGAAAATTTAAGAATCTTGCTCCAAATAATAATAGAGCCCACCTATTCCATGTCTTTGATCATTCTCGTGTTTTTCACAGCGTACACACAGTCGGTGCTTAATCGGTGCCAGCAGACCGGGCCTAAATGGCCTGAAGCTCCTATGCTGGCATTCTGCTGCCCTGCATTTGGAGAGATCTGGTGGGGGTCTGGCAAGGAGGCAGTATGGCTCAAGTCTGAGTGGCCATCATCTTCTGGCCTGAGCACCTTCTCCTTCCGTCTCACCTCCCTGGCAGACCTACATCCTGGATGAACCCAGTCCACTTTTACCTGCAGGCCACCGGCCCCCACCCCCAGGGCCTGAGCACACTTGAGAAAGATTCACATCCATGCAGACTGGTGCCACTTACACATGCACGGGTTTCCGATTCTGCCAGACCCTCAAGGTTGCCTTGTAATCTTCCCATTTCCCTAAGAATGAATGGAGACTTGGCTGTGTCTCCATAGTTTCGGAAATCTAGCTATTTCTCAGCATTTGGAGTGTGAAATTAGGCAGATGGAACATCCAGATTTCGGACTACACTGCATCTGGAAACCGTGGCATCAAACAGACATTTGGGGCTGGTTACTATACAGCGTGTGGTCAAAGGAGGCATTAATTCCAGTCCATTCTTGATCACTAAATGCAGCCCAGCAAACCAGGAAACAGCATGAACCCTGGGGTCTTTGGCCTCAAATCCCACCCCCTCCTCTTACTCTGTGTGATCTTAAATGTAGACTTAAGACTTGGGCTTTCTAACCCATAAAATGGGCATAAAATACCTCCAAGAAATGTTTAAAGGATTCAGAGAAATAAACCATAGAGACACACCATAAGCTCTCAATAAATTATCTGATGTTTGCTCTTTAATTTCCTTAAACATAAAAACACACCCAAAACCTTGCCAACTGAATCGGAACACAGGTTTTACAAATAATTAAATGAGATCAGCACAATTTCATTGAAGCTGCTCAGACAGCTTCAGTGATAAATAAGGCAACTTTTTACAAGCGTATCTATTAGAACATTAAATTAGTCAAACATAAGGAAGCATGCAAGAAAAATACAGACTAGGAGGTGACTCCTGTTTGCAAATCAGAACACTAGAGAAATGGCCACAGATTGCAAATCATAAATTCCACTTTCCAGAAGCTCTGTTATATGTAGATACCAGAAGGCAAATAAAAGCATACTTAAAGATGGTTTGGCAATGTCTCTTAAGAAAAAAAAAAAAAAAGACGAAAATGGCATGATTTCACAGCACCAAACTCAAACAAGGGATAATATATAATATCAGACCCAAAATTTTTCAAAGGGCTGAATAATGGTTGAATAACAGCTGAATTGGAACCATTCAAGCATTAAAAAAAAAAAAGGATAAGAAAAAAAAAGATGTGACTCCTTTGGTCATGCATTAGGAATGATTCTTTCAAATACTATTTGAGTTTCAGTTAACTCGTAGATGCCCTGAGTGACAATACCACATCCCCAAGACACTTTCGAGAACAGCCTGAATCTTTGTGGGAACACATTTAGTCTAGAGCAAGTCTTCTCAACTGTGGGTAGGGAGCGGAGTGGATTTTGTCACCCCAGGGGCATTTGGCAATGTTGGGAGACATTTTTGGTTGTCATAACTGGGAACGACAGGGACGCTCCTGAATCTCCTGGACAGAGACCGGGGATGCTGCCAAGTCTCCTAGGGGCACAGGACGGTCCCCACTACAAAGAATGATTGGGCTCAAGTATCAAGAGCGCTGAGGTTAGGAAGACCTGCTCTGAAGTTAGCCAGGCTACTTCCTACTTGCATGAGCCTGCTGGGGCTCTCCAAGCCTCAGATAAGGGAGGAAATCATAGGATCTACCTCTTAGGATTGTTGAAGATTTTGATGAGATAGAAATAATAATAATAATAACACCTACCATTTACCAAGCTCTCATAATGCACCAAGCATTGTGCCAAAAGCCTGTATGTGTATTATTTGAGTCAATATTTATAACAACACTATGACAGAAGTAACACAACTAAGATGTCGCTGCTGGAGCGGGAATGGGTTTCAAACCCTGGTAGCCTATGTCTTCACCTCTTCATTCTCCATACTCACAAGTTTGGTCCACAACCTGGTATCATCAGCATCTTGCTAGAGCAAAATCTCAGGCCACATGCTAGATCAACTGAGTCCAAATCTGCATGTGAGCCAGATCCCCAAGGGATTTGTGGACATATTAAGAGTCGGAGAAGCAATATGCTGAGGACAGTGCCTGGTTCCAAAGTAAATAATAAATAAAGATTAATTAGAGGCACCTGGGTGTTTCAGTGGGTTAAAGCCTCTGCCTTCAGCTCGGGTCGTGGTCCCAGGGTCCTAGGATCGAGCCCCACATCGGGCTCCCTGCTTGGTGGGGATTCTGCTTCCCCCCTCTCTCTGCCTGCCTCTCTGCCTACTTGTGATCTCTGTCTGTCAAATTTTAAAAAAAAAAAAGATTAATCATTTGCATTGTCATCACTGTTTTTAGCCTACAGAGAGACTCATTAGAGTAAAATTCAGACTCTGAGTCATAACATATATGGATGTGGCAAATATCTCATGGAGGAACTTTGTCAACACCAAACATCCCTAAGGGTGTCAGGTCTGCCCTGCCTCTTTGAAAGACTCTATCAAAATTGATAAAAACTAGCTGTCAAAAAGGGAAGAGCCACTACACCCAATCTAGCTCTTCTGATTCTTCAGCCATTGTTCCTCCTGCAGCATCTTCTGCCTCTCTCCGTGGCTTATCTATTTCATACTAGAGTGTGAATGACTCACGGCATGTGCTGCTTCACCCAGGGGTATCTGCATAACTCAAACCATGCTTTCTGTCTCTGTTTGAAAGAAGAACTGAGAACTCTGCTGCCAAACCTCAATTGCTGAGTATGTCCTCCTCATATTAGCTGCTCTGGAGACATAGGATGGTGACATCACAAAGCACACTCTGTCTCTCTAGTATTTCCTATTTTTTAAATTATATAAATAATGCATGAGTGCATCCTCAGTATAAAATATTCAAATTATATGGAAGAAGTATATAGAGTACAAAGCAGAAGTCCTTTTCACCACTGAAGCCATAGAGTGTTCAAAGCAGAGACTCTGGACCCAGTCTACCCAGCAACACTCCTTAGTAGCTCAGTGTCCTGGAATACCTTAACTTCTCTGTGACTCAGTTTCCTCATATGCACCTCAAATGTTTGAGGATTAAATGTGACAATGCCTAAGAAATGCTTAGCTCAGATCCTGGCACACATTAGGTATTAGCCATGGCTGTTGCTCCCATTTCTTTCGAAAGGTAAGCCCTATTATCAGCTTGGTGTGCAGACTTCCAGACCCTCTGTCAAGCACCTGCCTACATATGAACCCTGAAAATATAGGTATGCCATTAGCATGAAGATGACTGCACTTGGCCTTGCTTCTGCAACTTGCTTTACAGTTGAACCAGACCATGGGGATATCTTAATATTAGTCACACAAATGTATCCCTCATTCTTTTAACAGCTCCTTTGGATGGGTGTACCTTCGTGTGTGGAACCATCCCCCTGCTGGTGGGCATTTAGGTAGTTCCCACCTTTTCCCCCACTGGAAGTAAACTGGATGTGCTGAGGCAGCCAAGCTCCAAGCATGTCAGACTTGGGAAGTGGAGCAGCCAGGAAGCAGAGCCAGGCGGAGGATGGTCTCATCAGAGTCTCTGCCAAGGACGGGAAGGATGACGACAATCTGGGGCACACTCAAAATAAATAATTGTCCTTAACCCTCTCAAAATTGGGAAGCACATCGTTAGTCACTGGCTTCCTGTCACAGCTGGTAGCTGTGCCCTTTCCCTCCCCACCAGTGCCCTCAAACTGCCCAGTGTGAGGCCATGCCCAGGCCCACAGGTTCACAGAAAACAAGGGCACCTGCTCTGTGGTAATTTCTCCCTCCTCCAAAGCCCTAAGAGTACATTCCCCAGGGAAGAGGCAAAGGAACAGAGCTTCCTCTAGCCAGCAGAGACATGAAAGACAACCCAGTACAGCAGTTCTATGACTTGGTTAACAGCAGAACACTGAAATCTTACTCAGAATCCTAATTTACAAAGCAGATAAAAGGGATGGCCCTGATTGAACAGAGCTGGGTGGTTGGAGGGGGAAATGTACAGCTTCATTTTCCCCCGAGATGCCCGTGTTCCTCCAGAAAAATTTATAAACCATTCATTCATCTGATCCTATTTGTTTTTAGATTTGGTATCTAGACCTCAGAGAGGGGAAGTTATTCACTTAAGGCCACACAGAATGTAAGTAGCAGAATCCAGGGGAGGGC